CAAGCAATTGGACGTCTCAAACAACAGTATTGCAGACAATTTAAAAGTCCTATAGCAGGATATCTAGGTGAGCACAAAAAAGAACATATGTAGTCTTTTTATTAAAGCGAGGCAGAAGGTACTTAATTAATTGCCTACTGATTTTAGGACTAGCTAGATGTGGGTAATTCACAAACATATTTTTACAATTTCCAGATTTTAATTGCCCTACAGGCTTGCCTAGGCATGGATCAGAGATGTCCTATGAACATGATATCTAATCGTTCATTAGAACTGCAATAAACTAGTAAACATTTTTAAACAGGAAGTTTGGTTCATTAGGTCTTATAGGCATGCTGTCTAGTTGTAGAAACTAATTTAAACTTATAGACAGGGTATCTACATGCGAGAACTGATTTAAACCTTATAGGCATGCTGTCTAGGTGTAGAAACTAATTTTAAACTTATAGACGTGGTATCCAAAAGCAAAAATTGGTTTTAAAACCTTATAGACATGGTATCTCAATGCAGAAGTTGATTCGAACCTTATTTGCATGAAGAAACAGATTTAAACATTATTTGCATGCAGAAACTGATTTAAGCCTTGTTTTCATGCAGAGACTGATTTTAAACTTACGGGCATGGTGTCTAAATAAACAAACATCACAGTAAGTTATATGCATGGTATCTAAAAAACAGGACTAATTTTAAACCCTATAGGCATGGTATCTAGAATGCAAGACTGATTTTAAATTCATAGGCATAGTATCTAAATGTACCTAAGCAAGCAAACATTGCAGCAACCTATAGGCATGGTATCTAGAATGCAGGACTGATTTTAAACCCTATAGGCATGGTATCTACCCTTTCCCAACAAAATATATATAAGAACCCCTCCCAGTTTTACTAATATCCCCAATATCTGTTTTACAAGAATATTATTATTACTAACCAAATATAAATAATGAATACAGAAGTGAGACTACATAAACTATAGGGAGCCTGGATAAGCCCAAAACATAAACTTGGAAAGAACCAGGTCTTCAACCAAGTATGAACATGACAATATTCTCATACTGCACCCAATGGTATCCTGGTGTGTCAAAGTTCCCAAGTGCCTCAGGGACCTTGGGCAATGCTTACACCAGAAAACTTTTCAAAGAAACCCTTTTGTGAGCCAATTTTGGAGAGCCAACCCGAGTGTCTCAAAGTTCAAAGGAGTATCATGGACTCCTAGGCAATGCTCACACTGGAAGTGCAGGACCCTAAGTGTTCTAAGAGTAGGAGTTGAAAATAGGAGATGTTTTTAAGAAAATAGTTTTGGGTTCTCTGGGAGTAAGGAGCAAACAGGATCATTCTTCAATTCATGGAACTCAAACAAAGGTCCCATCAATCAAACGGTATACAAAAACAGGATCATTTAAAGTTTCAACTTAGTTTCCTAGTTGTTACTAGGTGAGCATATGGACAAACACTAAATAGAGACGCGGCATGCTGGTATCAATCAGACAGTCACATACAAAAGGATAGCATGGATTGGGAGCAATGCTGGTCAGAAGTCTGTGAGAGGAGAACACTTAAAACAAGATAGAAAGAACATGCTAGTGGAGAAGTGAACATACAAAGGTCTAATTTAGATATGAGCAAGTAAACCAACTCCGAAGATCAAATTTCCAAAGCCTTTCTCTTATTTGGGATGTGTCAGAGTTCTCTAAGAGTCTCAAGTGGACATCGAGCAGTGCTTACACCCAAATATATTGTAGAATTGAGTTATAGTGCAGTGTGGAAGGGCCAGCCCTCGAATGTCCATGTTCGGAGAGAACTCAAGGTCCCAAAGCAAGGATCATAGGAGAGGGGGGGCAGAACATAGAATCTAAGAGAGAGTGTAAGTGGTCATACCTAGCAATTGGAGTGCCGGCACACCCCAACCAGCCTGTTAGCCACATTATTTGGGAGTTAGGATCCCCTAAGGGATCATGTCCAGACATGAGCAACAACTTGGATGTTTCCATGTTCTGAACTTCAACTCAAACACATAGAAGGGGACAGGGGTGCAGGGATTCAAAATAGAAACATATGCTAATTAACATTAAACATAGGCAGTAAAGCAAACAGGGGTGTGGAAGCTGTAAAATAAACATATTGGGATGAGGCTGAAAATCAAACTAGAACATACCAGTTTCAGAGAAAACAAACAAAGAGAAAGCAGTAGTCTTGTAAATCCAAATTGCAAACGAGCGATCAGAATGCTATGAGTTTAGAGGAGAATTGTGAAGTGTAGAAGTATTGCATTGAAGATGTCCTGAAGTGCAGAAGGGTCGTGCCCTTTTATAGTGCAGAAAGCAAGTAGAAATAGGTAAGAAAAATAGTTTGGAAATCAATTACACAAGGTCTCCCTTTAATTAAGGGATTCTAATTTTAAACGGGCAAAATAATTAAGGAAATGGGTCAATCAAACACTTTTCCAGAGTAGTACAAGAGGGGTAAATACATTGAGGTTTATTTAAGGACAAAGTCTTGATAATACACGGTTTGTGCAAATAAGGAAAGGAAATCAGTTAACAACCAGTAAATCAGAAATTAAGGATTTCGTATGAATGAACCAGGTCAGGAAGATGGGAAGGATTTCGGCTTAAGGAAAATCAGTACCAATCAATTAAACTTATTAAGAGGAATCTGAATCAATCACAAGTTGGAAAACATTTTGAAGAAAGATTCCTCACATATAAAAGCACACAGACACGTTAAACATGAAGAAATTTGTCATGCTATTCAATAGAAGAGTCTAGTGTAGGAGAATCAGAATTGTGTGTAAACAAAAGAAGTTCACACTTAGTTCATAGACCCAGAAATAAGTCTGAAAGAGTCGGGGGTCCTCAAACAGAACCCTAGTTTGATCATATGACCAAACTCGGAGGAAACCCCCAAATTCTAGGGTTTCTGACTCGAGTAAAATACAGAGATGAGGAGGAAACAGGCTTAGAGATTTCCTTTCAAAATCTCATGGGAAGACAAGAAAATACAAATAATATTCACAGCAGACGGGCATAAGAGCATAATGAGAGAATAGTCACGACAGTAAGAAACGTGTTTAACAAAACCTTTTAGAAGGAACTTAAACAGAGTTTAGTAGAAGGCAAACAAAACTTAAGAACTCAGTAGGAAATACATACACTAGAAGAACACAAAAATACCGGAAAATCATAGCAAAAGATCATATTGGAAAATACAGCAAGATAAACATGCGAGCATAGTACAAAACACAGTAGAAAAACAAAGCACCGAAGAACATACATGATAAAGGAAAACATAAAAACAAAGAAAAGAAGAAGAAAAGTCAGAGAAACATTTTAAGCTTTTCAGAAAAACCCTAAATCGGAAAGAAGTAATTTTTGAAAAAAAAATTAGGGAAAACATTTAAAAACTCAAGTAGAGCACAAATATAGAACAGATTTAAGAAACAATCAGAGAAAACCTCGAATAGCTAGGGTTTCAGAGGAACCCTAAAGCGAGAAAGGCTTGGAAAAGGTCCGATCTGAGTCGGATAAGTTAGAAATTGGCTCATAATGCTTGGATATGCCGGAGCAAGGCCGGAGAGGCCATAGAACCTTGAATCGGAGAGGATCTGAACGGACACCATTGAGGTCTGACCTCGAAACTTCGAACACCAAGTATTTAAGATCATAGGGTGATGAGTTTAAGCCATCCATGGCCTGAAAGGCCATGGATTTCGGTGAGCTGAAGGTAGAAGATAGTAGGAGATGATTAGGGTTTCAAGAACCTTCGAGAGAGTTTGAGATGGGGGGGGGTATTTAGAGGCGGCTGATAGAATGAAATGAGTTAGGGAGGGGTGTGGACGGATTAAAAACGGAAAGGGGAAATCGTGGCCGTTGATCAGATTGATCAACGGCCTAGATTAAAAGGGGTTTAGGTCAGATAGTTTTAAATGGGTTAAGGGTTGGTTAAATGGAATTGGGTTGGTCCCAAATTGGGTTTGAAATTGGGTCAATTAGTGGGATCAATTTGGCTATAATTGAAACAAAAATGGGACAGATTTTAAATAGCCACTTTTCCCTTTTTATTTTATAAAAATAGTAAAAATAACTTCTGAAAATAAATTAAAAGTACTGAGTCAATGAATAATATATAAATATTTATTTAAAAATATTGGAACCAATTTCAAAATTATAAAATGCTATTAATTCTTAAAATAGGCTAAAATTGCAATTATATGTAATTTAGCTTTTAAAATATCAAATAAATTTGACAAAAATGTGTAAAAATTACCCTAGCTATATTTGGGTATAAATAAGGGAATAGAATAAGTTATTCACCAAAATGATAATTTTGGGAATAATTATTGGTTTTTATACTGCTAAAATGGGCAATAAATTGATTTAAAAATCCTTAAAAAATTTGAAAAAATACTAAGATACTTGAGCATACTTATATAATTCATTTTGAAAGTATTTGAATATAAAAATTCATAGGAAAAAATTGGGTATCAACAACGGCACGACGCAGGTTACCATCAATCACTTGAGATGGATCGGTGCCACCACATGGCTGTCATCAAACTTGCCAAGATAGTGCTTGAGTCTGTGCCCATTAACTCTGAAGATCTCACCATTTTTGTTTTTCAAATCAAGAGCACCAAATGGAGTCACAAGCACCACCTCAAAAGATCCACTCCATTTTGATTTAAGCTTTCCCGGAAACAGTCACAACCGGGAATTAAACAAGAGAACCAAATCACCCACTTTGAACTCCTTGCCACGAGTATACTTGTCATGAAGGTACTTCATCTTGTCCTTATACAAGGACGAACTGGAGTAGGCTTGAAACTAGAACTCATCAAGCTTATTAAGCTGCTCTACCCGAAGATTTACTGCCACATCCCATTCAAGATTTAACTTCCTCAAAGCCCATATGGCCTTATGTGCTAACTTAACCGGTAGATGGCAAGCTTTCCCAAACACCAACCGGTACAGAGACATACTAATCGGAGTATTGTAAGCAGTTCAATAAGCCCACAGAGCATCATCAAATTTTTTTGACCAATCGGTCCTATTTGCATTGATCATCTTTGACAAAATGCTTTTGATCTCCCTATTGGAGACCTCAACTTGCCCACTAGCTTGAGGATGGTAAGAGGTAGAAACCTTGTGATTGACACAATACTTTGAAAGTAAAGTGTCAAATGCCTTATTGCAAAAATGAGACCCTCCATCACTAATGATTGCTCTAAGAGTGCCAAACCGAGTAAAGATACCCTTTTTGAGAAAGGTCACAATGCTCCGGGCCTCACTATTGGGTAAAGCCATGGCCTAAACTCACTTTGAAACATAATCAACGGCAACAAGAATATATGTGTTTCCACAAAGGCTTACAAACGGACCCATGAAATCAATGACCCACACATCAAATATGTCAACCTCTAGAATAGTGGTGAGAGGCATCTCATCCCTCTTTGAAATTCCACCCGCTCTTTGACATTCATCACATTTCTTCACCAGTTCACTTGCATCCTTGTACAATGTGGGCCAATAAAAACCACAACATAACACCTTTGAAAATGTCCTTGCCCCTCAGTGATGACCACCGTAGGGAGAGGAATTACAAGCATCCAGAATACTCAATTGCTCCTCCTCTGGAAAATATCTCCGGATCACACCATCATTACAGATTTTGAACAAGTACGACTCATCCCAGTAGTAGTCCAAGCTATCCTTTTTAAGCTTCTTCCTTTGGTTAGAATAGAGCTCATACGGAACAATACCGGTTATAAGGAAATTGGCCACATCCACAAACCAAGGCATGCTATTCACAGATACAGAGAGGAGTTGCTCATCAGGAAATAAATCATTAATCTCGAGGCCATCATGGGGCCTCCCCTCCTTCTCCAAGCGGGACAAGTAATCCGCCACTTGGTTTTCACACCCTTTCCAGTCCACAATATCCAGATCAAACTCTTGAAGAATAAGACCCATCTCATCAACCGATCTTTGGAATCCTTCTTCATCATAAAGTAGCGGAGTGTTGCATGGTCGGTATGAATTATTACCTTGGCAGCCATGAGATAAAGCCTAAACTTCACCATTGCGAGCACAATTACCAGCAACTCTTTTTCTGTCACCGTGTAATTCACTTGAGCATCATTCATTATTTTGCTTGCATAATACATTGGGTGAAACATTTATTCACATTTTGACCCAAGACCACTCCTACTGCAACATCTCTTGCGTCACATATGAGCTCAAAAGGTAAGATCCAATTGGGTGCGGTAATAATGGGGGTTGGTGTCAATTTATATTTCAGGAGTTCAAAAGCTTTCATACATTCCTCATCGAACACGAACTTGGCATCCTTTTCCAATAACTTGCACAAGGGATTCACTACCTTAGAAAAGTCTTTGATGAATCTTCGATAGAACCCCGCATGCCTAAGAAAACTCCTAACCCCCTTGACTGAAGTAGGAGGAGGAAGCTTTGAGATCATTTCAATTTTAGCCTTGTCCACTTTTATGCCGTGCTTTGAGATCTTATGGCCGAGGACAATGCCTTCCTCGACCATAAACTTGCATTTCTTCTAGTTAAGCACAAGATTGGTCTCTTTGCACCGGGCCAACACCTTGTCTAGATTCTTCAAACATTCATCAAACGAGTCACCCACAACACTAAAGTCGTCCATGAGCACTTCCAAAATGTCCACCACCATGTCGGTAAATATGGTCATCATACACCGCTGGAATGTAGCCAATGCATTACACAACCGAAATGGCATCCTAGAAAAGGAGAAAGTGCCATACAGACACGTGAATGTGGTTTTCCCCTGATCTTCTGGAGCAATCAAAATCTGGTTGTACCTAGAGTACCCATCCAAGAAACAGTAGAAGGCACGCCCAGCAAGTCTATCTAGCATCTGGTCAAGAAAAGGCAATAGAAAGTGATCCCTTTTCTAACAGCAATCGGACAGCTGGCCATTTCTAATTGGCTTCAGCAACTTGTACTAGTAGAATAGCACCAGCTGTCCGTGCCACAGAACATTCTAGATACCTTATCCCATTTCTAAACTCCCAAATTAACTCCCTTAAGTTTTCTTTACTTACAAATGAACCCCTACAAGTCCCTAAGAGTTGAAAAATATGGCCAACAAAATAGTCAACACAAATGACAGCAAACAGATCAAAACCAAGATTGAACATCTAAAAAAATAGAAAAATAATAATCTTAAGACCTCCAAACTTGAATTTTCCTAAAACTAAATTAGTCAAAACAAATTATCAAATTAGGAGAATTCAAGATGCCTAAAACTAACATTAATGAATTATATTATTTATTATATGACTACTTCAGAATTAGATTAACCAACAGGTCTAAACAAAATAAGCAATGATAACTAAAACTAAAGAGAAGCTTGACATGCACTAGAGAACTAGGCTGGTTGACATGAAAAAAACAAACAAAACCCTAACGGCACAAAGAATATGGCCTCATGAACTACTTAGTTTGGTCATTGATATGACGAACTAGGAAACAGGATAAACAAAACAAACAGAAACAGAAAAAAAAAGATAAACAAGAGAATGATAACTTAAGAGAAAAAAAGAAAAAAAAGACAGGAGGAATGTACCTATACCGAAACGTGAATCAAACGGCTTAAAGGGAACTGGATGCCTCTGATTTAAGTCGCAATAGGTGTTAGGCGACTGTTCTCATCGAGAACAGACGGATAACACCCATTTCCGGCTTAAATCTTCTTTGAAAAAAAAAAACCAGTTCGTGACCTAGGCTTTGCATGCTCTCAGATCCGAAACTGAAGCATTTTGGGAAAGAATCAAAAGGATTGGCTTGAGAATTTAGAAAAAAGGGGAGGTGAGGAATGTTTGGTGTAATTTTGGAGTGATTTGGAGGGGTTTATGAAATTGCCACCGGCGGAGGGTTTCAAGGCGGCGGTCTCTAGGGTTTTGAGAGACGGGGAGGTGAGGAGATGGAATGAGGGAGGTTGACTGGGGGAGGCCTTGGTTCGGACACTTATATACTTAGGGTTCGATAAGTTCCGGGCCGTTGGATCTCAAAGATTCAACTGTCGTGATTAGGGACAAGAGAAACGGGATCGTTTCGCTGTAATGGGGCCTAGGACCGGGTAGCTAGGATTTGGGCTTGGGAGATTGGAACGGGTAAAGGGGAAATTTGGGCTTCACCATGTCTTAGCCCAATTAAATCAACCCTTGTGCAATAGCCCCATTTATTTTCTATTCTTTTTTGCTTTTCTTTTTCTTTCCTTTTTTTTCCAATTAAATACCTAAAATAAAATCCTAAATTAATCTAGATCCTAACACTAACAGTTTTCATAAAAAATTATAAAAATTTCTTAATCCTAAATTAAAGAGAAAAACTATTATTCTAAAATTAAGCTAAAACTGCAACAATGGACTATTTTTGTAATTTCAATTTTGGTAGAACAAATAATTAGCTAATTAATCCTAAAAATATGGAAACCAACTCTAAATGCAATGCATGATATTTTTTGTACTTTTTTCATGATTTTAATAAAATAAACATGCATAGAAAAATACAAACAATCAACACGATTTCCTTCCAATATCCTATAAAATTGCAAATAATTAGAAAAATATTATTTCTTTAATTTGTAAGAGTATTTCACATAGGGGAAAAATCACATGCTCACAGCTGCCCCTCTTTGCTAGAAAACACGAAGAGTTTTCGGGCAAAGAAAAAGTGAGCGGATACGAGCGATTTTTGCCCATTTGAATACTCCATGGGAAGCATTTTTGAAAGACTTGAACCGTATCCCCTTGTTCTCCAAGTGGGTGCCTGATGACCAAAGCTTGAATTGTATTCCCTTATTCTCCAAGTGGACGCCTGATTGCCAAAACTTGAACTCTATTCCCTTGTTCTCCAGGTGCGCACCTGATTGTCAAATCTTGAACGGTATTCCCTTGTTCTCTAGGTGGACGCCTGATTGCCAAAACTTGAATTGTATTCCCTTGTTCTCCAGGTGGGTACCTGATTGCCAAAACTTGAATTGCATTCCCTTGTTCTCCAGGTGGGCACCTGATTGCCAAAACTTGAACTGTATTTCTCTTGTTCTCCAGGTGGGCACCTGATTGCCAAAACTTGAACTGTATTTCTCTTGTTCTCCAGGTGGGCGTTCTCCGGGTGGGTGCCTGATTGCCAAAACTTGAAATGTATTCCCTTGTTCTCCAGGTGGGCACCTGATTGCTGAAAACTTAAATTGTACTCCCTTGTTATCCAGGTGGGCGCCTGATTACCAAAACTTGAATCGTATTCCCTTGTTTTCTAGGTGGGTGCTTGACTGCCAAACTTGAATTGTATTCCCTTGTTCTCCAGATGGGTGCCTGATTGCCAAAACTTGAATCGTATTCCCTTGTTCTCCAAGTGGGTGCCTGATTACAAAAAATTGAAATATATTCCCTTATTCTCCAGGTGGGCGCCTGATTGCTAAAAACTTAAACTGTATTCCTTTGTTCTCCGAGGGGGCTCCTGATTACCAAAACTTAAATTGTATTCCCTTGTTCTCCAGGTGGACGCCTGATTGCCCAAACTTAAATGGTATTCCCTTGTTCTTCCGGTGGGTGCTTGATTGCCAAATATTAATTGTATTCCCTTGTTCTCCAGTGGGCGCCTGATTGCCAAAACTGAACTGTATTCCCTTGTTCTCCAGGTGGGCGCCTGATTGCCAAAACATTAACTGTATTCCCTTGTTCTCTAGGTGGGCGCCTGATTTGCAAAACTTTAACCGTATTCCCTCGCTCTCCAGGTAGTCGCCTGATTCCCAAAACTTTAATTGTATTCCCGTGTCCTCCAGGTGGGCACCTAATTGCAGAAACATTAACTGTATTCCCTTGTTCTCCAGGTAGGCGCCTGATTGCCAAAACTTTAATCGTATTCCCTTATTCTCCAGGTGGACGCCTGATTACCAAACTTTAACCGTATTCCCTTGTTCTCCAGGTGGGTGCCTAATTACCATAACTTGAACTGTATTCCCTTGTTCTCCAGGTGGGCGCCTGATTACAACAAAACAGACAAAACAAAGAAATATTTTCTATCCCAGTTTTGTATCTGGTCACATCCGTGAGTGTTAATCGAATCTTGTTATCAAAAGAGCTATAAGAACTCAAAATCTAAATCCCATTATCCAGGAGGGTCTAGAAAATTAAAATTAAATCCCATCCTTAAAGTGAAAACTTCAACGCTAACTTATATTTCCTAATGGTAGAGCTTACGCTAAATCTTATTATCCATGAAGGTATTGGAATTCAACTAAGTCCCATTATCCAGGAGGGTCCTGAGAACCCTAAAAAATATTGAATCCAGTTATCTAGGAGGGCCCTGAAAATTTTGAACTAAATCCCATTATCTAGGAGGGTCCTGAAGATTTACGGTTGAACCTATCTGGTGCATGATTTCCCCACAGAGGGCTCCCCCGGAATAAACGAAATTTCCTGCCCCTATTTTAATCAATGAAAATCTTATCAGCTTAAAAATGTGGTGGTTAATTTGCGGCATTCTTGTTGATGGTGGCCCTTTCACTGTCGTGCTTTACTTTGACTGGCTGCCTTGAATCTGGCCAAGAATTGTTTGCCTTTCTGACTGAATTTCAACCACAGGACCCTGAATGACCCGAGCCTCTGTATCTTCCACAAAGTTCCCAAACCACTCCACCTATGGAGCTTTCACTGACACCTTATTTTCCACTTTGCATCATGCAATCTCTGGTATGTTTTGGCCGCACTTTGCTTTGTGAAATTTTAAAGTTGGTAGTAAGCTTTGAAATCCTTTCTCACTTACTTAAACAAGGCTGACATTGGAAAACCTTGGAGAAATAAACCCAAAATAAATAATATGCAATGACTTCAAGAGTTAGGAATAAATAAGAAAATCCAAAACTGGATGACTGTTTGAGGGAGAAAAGGAAGGAGACTTATCTAGGCAGTTGACACAAATGATCATGATATGCATTTCGGATTAATCAGCCCAGCCCGTTCAGCCAATCACCTTTCAGTTGTCGTACTTTATTCCCCAGGATCTTCAAAACCCAATCTCTTTGCCAAGTCACTAACCTAGTTCGGCTTGCGGTGCCCTGAAGGGTTTTCACCAACAAACCTCTCTTATTTCT